CCTCCGCAGGTGTTACAGCGGTGTTCAAACCTGCAGGTCTGCCACTTGCACATGCCTGCATTTAACCCCCAACAGACTCCTGGAGATTTCTTTTCCCCCATACCAGGCCCTGCATATTGCTCTGTTGGCTGAGTGACCATAGGCACAAAGCCATTGTCACACCTGCTCGAAGGGGAGGCACCAACCATGACGTCTGCCCATAACTTAGCCTGAACGTGTTGCCATGACATGGAACGATCTAAAGCGGCCCGCATTCAAAACTGCTCATCGTACTGAAGCCATGCAGATCTTCTTGAATTGAAATGACAATTAATATATGCCTTTATCATTATCTCTTGATATTCAGATAAGTCTGGGGACCTTAAGGGCTCCTTCACCTCAATAATACCCCTAAAAATTGTGAAGCCCATTATCCAATTAACATTCCTTTCTAACTTCAGGTGCTTGTGTGCCTTGAACTCCTTGGGTAGACTAAATACAACCCCGTCTTTTACCATAACTCTTGGCTCTGGGTCACGGAAAGGAAAAAAGATCGATAAGCTCACCCTCCAAATCTGCTCCTTCATTGTAAACAGGAGATGGGAGCCCAAAGGAGTGGACATACGCACATAAGGGTTACAATCAATTGTTCTTTCCACCCCAACTTGACCTAATGCTCCTGGTGAAACAACTCCTTTAGATGAACTTACATTGCCAGCCAAGGACTGCTCTACCTGTACCCTTGCTTTCTGAAACTGACTCGCCCCAGCCACCGCTGAGGGTGTGCTCAGTGAAACTGAGAGTGAACACTCAGCCCTGCCACCCTGGCCAACTTGGACACCAGGTGCCCAGACTGTTGCTGGCAAAGACCCCTATAATATAGGTAAGGTAGATGCACCTGAGCCCGCCGCCTGGTGCTGGACATCCACCGACACTTGAGCACCTCCAGCCAAGTGTGATATAACTGATGCCTGGATGTTATGCTGCAGGGTGGAGGAAGTACCTCCCACCACATTGCTCGATGGCTCAGGGGTTTCAGCAGCCAGCCTGCTGGTCCTACCTGAAACCACTGTCCATTGCACTAAGCTATACAGGTCAGCCAATGTAGGCTGCACTGACACAGAGGCTGCTGCCCCCTGTTGTACAAAACCTGGACCCTTTTTCATGAGTTTTATCATATCAGCTATAGTTGGCTGCCCACCCTCTATAGCTGGAGCCTCATCATTATGTGACGCATTGCCCACTATCATACCAGGTGAGGATACCTCCTGCACCTGTGTAGATTGTAGTCCCACAAACTGGTCCTCGTTTGAGGCTGGAAGGGCCAATGTTGTAGAACTAGCCCCCTGGCTTCCCTTCTGTGCCAGTTTTTCACACACAGCTACACAAGCTTCCATTGTGCATCCCAACTGGTCCAGGTGGAGAACAATCTCATCCTCCTTACCCTGAGCCTTGGCTGAATGCTTAGGTGCTGACTGACCGGTGCTAGGTCCAGCAGGTGCCACACACCGCTTAGGCTGGGCCTTGCTGTGTGGCATACTGGCAAAAATTCTCCTATTTAATAATTACCAGGCCCCTTGGTTATAGTGTTCTAAGCAAGAACTATAACCCTTCATCAGAATAGCTAGAGTGTCCAGAAAAAAAAGCTATCTGTAATGCCCCAAGCAGGGACAACTGACCATACAAGTCAAGACCAATAAAGCAAACAAGGCCTTTTTTGTAGTAACCAGTCCCAAGAGGGACAATAACCTGCCAAAAGGTCCCAAGCAGGGAGAATGAAACCTAAGCAGGGTCAAAACAAACACCCAGGGAGTTCCAAGCAGGGACAACCAACCCTCCAGGGATCACTCACTAGGCCTCCTATGGCCTAAAACCATCTGAAGGGTCCCAATCCAGGACAATAAACCCAAGCAGGGTTGAGAAACACAGCACCCAGGGGGGTCACAAACAGGGCAGTAAACCCAATCAGGGGTGAAAACAGCACCTGGTGGTAGTCCCAAGCAGGGACAGCAAACCCATGCAGAGTTGAAACAGCACCCGGGGCATCCCAAACAGGGACAATAAACCCAAACAGGGCCAAAAAATCACCCATGCATTCTCAATCAGGGAGAATAGACCCAAGCAGGGTCAATCCACCACACAGGGGTCCCAGGCAGGGACAACAAACCCCCTGTGGGCCTCCTTATGGCCAGTAAATAGGCCCCATGTGGGGACAAAACCTACCCCCGTGTGTTGCCAACTACAAAGAATTTTTTTCCCAAGTGCTCCCCAATTCATGACTCTCCTCCAAGCACTGGCCTCACCACTGTGAAGAACCAGGCCCGAGGAAGCCCGCTGGCTCTAAATGTTGGCAGCCGATTTTCTCTCTTGGCTGCCGATGCTCAGAATGGCTGCCTCCACATGGCAGCGGGGATTAAATAATCCCCAAATACCGCCCAAAATCTCATGAGACTGTCTGGTCTCGCGAGATTAAACGGGCTGCTGGGGGCTCTCACAAGATCCCCCTGATTGATTGGGAGGCAAACGGAGGGTGTGACTCCTTTCCCTCCCAACCAATCACCGTGTTGGCCTTCTAAATTTGGCTGGTGCAACAGAGCCCCTCCTGACATGTCGGGGGGGAGGGGTCTTTGTCTTCACCCAGGAAATTCTGAAAAAGTTATATAAAGGACTCTGGTGATCTTTAACAAATAATGCTGTACCAATAAACAATGGCTCCTAGAATACTTTAGTGGAAGCCAAAATAGATGAATGAATATAAAACTGATAATTGTTTGATTTACTTAATAGCTAATTTAATATGATATGTTTTCTTACAGAGTATTTAGTGAATAATTGCAAGTGAAACATAGGCAAGATTCAGAGAAAGTTGATGCACTCACTACTCCATAGCAATAAACGTTACTATGAAGAGGGTAATTGGTTAAAAGAATACCTGATTGCAGATGTCTACCTGAGAAAACCATACATTCTTCAGTGGGATATTACCTTGTTCTTCATGTTTTATTTCAATACCTTCCACACCTTGAGTTTTTAAATAAGGATCTCTTGTGAATTAAGTCCATCAGAATTAAGAGTTACTTTTAAAAGGAAGAGGAAATAAGACCAGTTCTTAGTTCTCTTCATTATCAACCTGACTGAGTAGCCATTCACTAAGGTCTAGGCACCTATCTCCCTTTGTTACTAATGTTCAGCCAATTTGTTTTATCTTCCCTGTGATGTGAGGACTTAATTAAGTAGCTTAATTAACTTTTAAATTGTGCAGACTCTCAGCAGAATGTTGGTCCATTGTGAAAGTTTCCTGTAATGCTCCCTAATCGACCTGGCAGCTGTCCTGTGTTGTCAGTTGTGTCAGTGTACATGTGTCTTAGAATTGTAGAATCAGAGAGTTGGAAGAGACCCCAAGGGCTATCCAGTCCAACCCCCTGCCATGCTGGAACTCAAAATCAAAGCATCCTCAACATATGGCCATCCAGCTTCTGTTTAAAGACCTCCAAAGAAGGAGACTCCACCACACTCTGAGGGAGTGTGTTCCACTGTCGAACAGCTCTTACTGTCAGGAAGTTCCTCCTAAAGTTGAGGTGGAATCTCTTTTCCTGTAGCTTGCATCCATTATTCTGGGTCCTGTCCTCTGGAGCAGCAGAAAACAAGCTAGCACCCTCCTCAATATGACATCCCTTAAATATTTAAAGAAGGCTATCATATCCCCACTTAACTGTCTCTTGTCTTAACCTTCTTGTCATGATGGGTGGGATTATGAAGTGAATAATATTGCAAAAGCATAGGCAACTGTCTTATAACCAGACAAAGCTATTGGCTCATCTGGTTTAGTACAGTCTACACTAACTGGTAACAGAGCTGAACCCACCTAGGGTATTGACAAGAAGTGTGCCCAGATCACTTGCTCCTTGTTCTTCTTAGGTGAAGTTGCTAGGGTTTGTTGGGACAATCAACAAGAAAATTGTACACTCTGCTACCAATCTATGGCCCTTCACATTTCCACATGTTCCTCCAGGAGCCCTATAAAGTTTTAAAATAACACTGCCAGTAAACTAGAAAGAAAGTCTTTTTTTAAAAAAAAACAAACAAACAAAAAAACCAAAAACAAAACAAAGTCTAGCCCTGCTTCTTTTTACTCTTATTCTTATAGTTGTTGTTTCTATTTGTCTCCTTGTTCTGCTTGGTGTCAGCTTCCAGAAAAGCTAGCATGTATAGTATTCTTCCAAATACATAATGATTCCAAGTTTGTATGTAAGTGGGACCATTAATGTTGTTCAAACTTTCTTCACCTGTGCAACTGCAGAGAGAGTAGAGGGATGCACTGGCTTGGCTGACATTGCCATAAGTGATGTCATGTAACTTCCAGTTTCCTTCTTGGAATTTTTTTGTCTGGTTGAGGTGGGTGTTAGGGATTTTTGAAGCAGTATGTATATTTGGGACGGTTGCGGAGCAAAATTGTTGGGTTTTGTGGTTGGTTAGAGCCATTTTTGTCATTTTTTTAAAAAAAACACTGCATTTTAAATGATTTTGGGCAGAACGGAGGGGGAAATCTAGGGGATTCAGGAGCTTTGAAATGGGGCCCTATGTGTGTCTGTTCTTCATCCCTGTGTGTGCCACTTTCCCACTGAATCATGCCTTGATATTTCTTCATAAAAAAGCAAGTTCTGAAGGGAAATGTTATGGACATTCTCTTGAATATGACTAAAAGACATTCAATGGCTTGTTTTACATGCTTGATGAGATATTTTATGAAATTCCCAATCTCTTGTTTTTTCATTCCATGTTCTCTGTTGGGTCAACTATTTCCAACAGGGCTTATTTGTTCCAGTTATTATAATGTCATGTCATAGGATATGGTGATGATGCAATGTTCTTTATTCCCACAATGCATAGGACTGTGTCAGTCCTTCATTTGTTAGATAGACTAGCATAATCAGCATGTATAGGAAAGAAACAATTGGGTAAAATCTGCCTTGAACATTTTGAGGTGCTTAATTTCCTTTTCTCTTGCCATTACTATAAGAACCATTGTGGTGTAGTGGTTTGAACATTGGACTATGACTCTGAAGATGAGGGTTCAATTCCCCTTTCTGACATGGAAACCCACTGGGTGACTTTGGGTGAGTCACACACTGGCAGCCCCAGGAAAACCCCATATATGTTTGCCTTAAGGTTGCCATACTCAGAAAGAAATTGAAGACACACACAACAACAACAACAACAACAACAACAACACTATAAAATTGACTGGAGTTTGGGAGTGTTGGGAATGTATTCTTAAATGATAACAGCATGACTTGTGTGTAGTTACTAGGAAGTACATTTTGCTCTATTCAATATGGACACTCCCTGGTAAGTATATTTAATATTACAGCCTTTTACTCTTAAAGACAACCTCAGCCACCAGTTGCAAAGTAAAAATCAGTGATTTGTTAGAATAAGGGTGGAGACATGTTCTCTCTCACTCAGTTTCTCTCTCTCTTCCCAAGCAATAAGAGCTATGGGCTGAATGTGTAGATTTAGATGGAGCTGTGCATTAACTGGATTAATGCACTTGGAGCTTGCTTAGTAATTTTCCATTATGTTTTAATCCCTGCTGTTTAATGATTGGCTAAAATATATCTAGTGTGTCCATGTGATTTGTTATACAATGTTGTGTGCTTTTCTTTCCAAAATAGCTATAAATGATGAGGTTTATGTTTGTTTCACTGGAGGATTGCTCAGTTTGAATGTTGGATATCTGGGTTAGCATGTTGTTAAATAAGCTGTTGCTTTCAGCTTACTAATAACTCCATTCTTGGGCCCTACACAGAAAAAGTTTCCCTTCAACATTACCATGACTGAAATATTTTCATAGTTTTGTTAAAACCATACACACACACACACATGCTCTCACACACTCAGCCTTTCTGAAACACCAGTAAATATAACTCAAGTGGTTGTAGTCCAGCAAGAAAGGAAAACATGTATTTGACTGGGATGTTAGCAATGAAATGGAAATCCTAAAAAAAAAAAAAAAAAAAAAAACTAAGAAAACAAAACCAGAAACATATATTGTGATTATATTAATAAATGCTACTTAACCTGGAGAAATATTAATTTATAGTATAGGAATACATATACATAAAATAACAAAAAATGGCAGGAATTCCTATGGCAGTTACAAATGCATAATTCTGGAGTTCCATGTTCATGACTGTTACACGTTCATGGTCCTTACATAATCCCTACTCTAGAGGGAGTCCTCAAGTCTCAGGGCCTAAGCAGACGAACGGCCGTGGGCCACCCTGGGAAGCTGCGGATTGGGGCCGAGATATTCGCACTCCTCGGCCCCAACCCACAGCTTCGCAGGCCCTGGAAGGAATGCAATGAGTCTCTACCACTCCAGCGTGTGCGGACACTGCAGCGGAAGTATATCGTCAGAGCGCCAGTCGTGCAGAGCAACAGGCACTCCGATGACGTGTTCAGGAAGGGGTTGGGGCACCCAGTGTGAGGCTGCCCCTCCCCTTCCTTGCCTTGAAGATGGCGCAAAGTGCTATCTGCTTAGGCCTTCAGTTAACCAGAAGATAGTCGTGATTGATAGGGATCTGTTGTCCTGTCACTTGCAAAGCAGCAAACTGATGTTCTCACTTATACAAATAATCTTTGGCTGAGTGGGAATTGCAACAGGGACCTCTTTCTGCCTGTTGCAATGGGAACTGCTCAAAAGAAGCTGTGGAAATGGCAGCTAGGTGTCTCCCAAGCCAGAGGGTAACACATTCTCATCAGTCACAATGGCTGCTGAATTGAAACTGGGGATCGAATGTGTGGATGGAATGTGTGGATGGGGGTCAAGCCAGATTCACTCTACAGCATCATAATTATGGTGCTACATATATGTGAAGAAAGACACCTCCCCCGACACGTCAGGAGGGGCCCGCTGTTACACCGGCCATTTTTGAAGGCCAACACCGTAATTGGTTGGGAGGGCAGGGAGTCAAATACAGTATTTGATTTAAAAGAGAAATCTTCTTCATTGGTATTACACTTGTTGAAGGGTTCTAGCCCTTACTTTGGATGCTATAACCCCGGGGCTTGGTAATTATAGAGAAGGGAACTTTTGCCATTATGCCACGGAGCAAGTCCCAGGCCAAGCAGCGTGCGGCGCCTGCTGGATCTAGCACTGGCCAGTCAGCCCCTACGTATGTGACTAAGACCCAGGGTAGGGAGGATGAGATTGTCGCCCACCTGGCCCAGTTGGGATGTACAATGCAAGCATGTGTGGCTGTGTGTGAGCAACTAGCTCAGAGGGGGGTGCAGGTGGTAGTTCTGGTACCCTGGACCTTCCAGCCTCAAATGAGGAGCAAATGGTGGGGCTTTAAACTACACAGGTGCAGGAGGTACCCTCACCTTGTATGGCAGTGGACAACACATCACGTGGTCCTGTAGATGCTCCAGCTATGGAGGGCGGACACCCAACTGTAGCTGACTTGATGGAACCTATGAAAAAGGTTCAAGGTTTGGTTCAGCAGGGAGCAGCAGGCTCTGCATCTGCGCAGCCTACATTGGTTGATTTGTTTAACATGGTAGAAAGGGTAGTGGTTTCAGGCCAGACCAGCGGGCTGGCTGCTGAGACCCCTGAGCTACCGAGCAATGTGGTGGGAGGTGTTTCCTCCACCCTGCAGCATAAGAGCTGAGCCTCAATTGCATCACACTCAGTTGGAAGTGCTCAAGCATCGGTGGATATCCCGCAGCAGCCGGTGGGCTCAGGTGCCTGGTGTCCAAGCTGGCCAGGGCAGCGAAGCTGACCATTCACCCTCAGTTTCTCTGAACATACCCTCAGTGGCAGCTGGGGTGAGTCAGACTCATGAAGCAAGAGTCCAGGTGGAGCAGCCCTTGGTGGGCAAGGTAGGTGTGTCTAAAGGAGCTGTTACATTAGGAGCCTTAAGTCAAGTGGGGGTGGAAAGAATGGCTGATTGCAACCCTTATGTGGGTACATCCACTCCTTTAGGCTCCCATCTCCCACTTGCAATGAAGGAGCAGATTTGGAGGGGTGAGTTTATTGATCTTTACTCCTTAACATTCCATGACCCAGAACCAAGAATTATGGTGAAAGAGTTGTATATAGTCTACCTAAGGAGTTCGAGGCACACAAATGCCCGAAGTTAGAGAGGAATTTTGTTAATTAGATAATGGGCTTTACAATTTATAGGGGTATTATTGAGGAGAGGGAGCCCTTAAGGTTTCCAGATTTATCTAAATATCAGGAGACAATGATAAAGGCATATACTAATTGTCATTTTAAT